AGTAGTACAGTAGTAGTAAAGTGTACAGTAGTAGTAAAGTAGTAGTACAGTAGGTAGTAAAGCAGTAGTACAGTAAGTAGTACAGTAGTAGTACCAGCAGTAGTACAGTAGTAGTCCAGCAGTAGTACAGTAGTAGTACAGTAGTAGTACATTAGTAGTACAGTAGTAGTCCAGCAGTAGTACAGTAGTAGTACAGCAGTAGTACAGTAGTAGTACAGCAGTAGCATATTAGTAGTACAGCAGTAGTACAGTAGTAGTAAAGTAGTAGTACAGTAGTAGTACAGTAGTAGTACAGCAGTAGCATATTAGTAGTACAGCAGTAGTACAGTAGTAGTACAGTAGTAGTACAGTAGTAGTAAAGTAGTAGTACAGTAGTAGTACAGTAGTAGCACAGCAGTAGCATATTAGTAGTACAGCAGTAGTACAGTAGTAGTACAGCAGTAGTACAGTAGTAGTACAGTAGTAGTACAGTAGTAGTAAAGTAGTAGTACAGTAGTAGTACAGCAGTAGTCCAGTACGCAGTAGTACAGCAGTAGTACAGTAGTAGCAGTAAGTACAGCAGTAGTACAGTAGTAGTACAGTAGTAGTACAGCATAGTACAACCAGTTACAGTAGTAGTACAGTAGTAGTACAGTAGTAGTACAGTTAGTCCAGCAGTATACAGTAGTAGTACAGCAGTAGAACAGCAGTAGTACAGTATAGTACAGTAGTAGTACAGCGTAGTAAAGTAGTAGTCAGTAGTAGTACAGTAGTAGTACAGCAGTATACAGTAGTAGTAAAGTAGTACAGTAGTAGTCAGTAGTAGTACAGTAGTAGTACAGCATAGTTACAGTAGTAGTACAGCAGTAGCTATAGTATACAGCATTACAGTAAGTAGTAGTACAGTAGTAGTCCAGCAGTAGTACAGCAGTAGTAAAGTAGTAGTACAGTAGTAGTACAGTAGTAGTAAAGTAGTAGTACAGTAGTAGTACAGTAGTAGTAAAGTAGTAGTACAGTAGTAGCACAGCAGTAGCATATTAGTAGTACAGCAGTAGTACAGTAGTAGTACAGTAGTAGTACAGTAGTAGTAAAGTAGTAGTACAGTAGTAGTACAGCAGTAGTACATTAGTAGTACAGTAGTAGTACAGCAGTAGTACAGCAGTAGTACAGCAGTAGTCCAGCAGTAGTACAGCAGTAGTACAGCAGTAGTACAGTAGTAGTACAGCAGTAGTACAGTAGTAGTACAGTAGTAGTACAGCAGTAGTACAGTAGTAGTACAGTAGTAGTACAGCAGTAGTACAGTAGTAGTACAGTAGTAGTCCAGCAGTAGTACAGCAGTAGTACAGCAGTAGTACAGTAGTAGTACAGTAGTAGTACAGCAGTAGTACAGCAGTAGTACAGTAGTAGTACAGTAGTAGTACAGCAGTAGTACAGTAGTAGTACAGTAGTAGTACAGTAGTAGTCCAGCAGTAGTACAGTAGTAGTACAGTAGTAGTACAGTAGTAGTACAGCAGTAGTACAGTAGTAGTACAGTAGTAGTACAGCAGTAGTACAGTAGTAGTACAGCAGTAGTACAGTAGTACAGTAGTAGTACAGTAGTAGTACAGTAGTAGTCCAGCAGTAGTACAGTAGTAGTACAGCAGTAGTACGTAGTAGTACAGTAGTAGTACAGTAGTAGTACAGCAGTAGTACAGCAGTAGTACAGTAGTAGTACAGCAGTAGTACAGTAGTAGTACAGCAGTAGTACAGTAGTACAGTAGTAGTACAGTAGTAGTACAGTAGTAGTCCAGAAGTAGTACAGTAGTAGTACAGCAGTAGTACAGTAGTAGTACAGCAGTAGTACAGTAGTAGTACAGTAGTAGTACAGCAGTAGTACAGTAGTAGTACAGCAGTAGTACAGTAGTAGTACAGCAGTAGTACAGTAGTAGTACAGCAGTAGTACAGTAGTAGTACAGTAGTAGTACAGCAGTAGTACAGTAGTAGTACAGTAGTAGTACAGCAGTAGTACAGTAGTAGCACAGCAGTAGTACAGCAGTAGTACAGTAGTAGTACAGCAGTAGTACAGCAGTAGTACAGTAGTAGTACAGCAGTAGTACAGCAGTAGTACAGTAGTACTCACCGGTGACGGAGGCGGTGCGGGTGCAGTTGTAGAGGATGGCCAGCTCTCCGAACACCTTCCCAGGCGTCATGGTGCACAGCTTCATGCCCTCCTTCGTCACCTCCACCTTCCCCTCTGAGAGACAGGGCTTTTATTGTGGAGGGGTAAACAGGAAGTCTACAACATCAACTTTGTTTACCTGTACATTACCACCCTGCGAGGTCTCCTTATCTGATATGATTTGATATGATGTATTACCTGGGATACAATTCAACATCCCATCAGTCTGTATCCCAAATGTATGAAATAATGATAAATGAGCTGTTAGAAAGTCTGATCTGAGGACATTAGCGCTGTAGAACTATTTCAACTGTTAATAATAAATGTATGAATGTATGTGTGCAGTTTTATACTGGTAGAACT